TATCATTATCTGTGGAAAATCGTAAAGGAGCCTAGGGAGATTAATGTTCCGATACGTACCAGACCCTTGTGACCAAGCTTTGCCAGTCAGTCAGTCAGTCAGTCAGTGTATTTGAGGGAAATAGGCTTACGCCTTTGAACTCCCTATTTGTACATAAAAAATCGATAAACAAGCAAAAATGTGAAGAAATTACAGCATGAAGTGAATGCATACATTGATTCACATATGTCACTACTCACATGGTTAAAAAGTCACATAGTCCGATTGTTGCTGCAGCATATATCTGTCAAGGCGACATTTAAATGTCTCCACAGATTGAGACATAACAACCGTCTCGGGCAGGTTATTCCACGGTTCCACGACACGTTTGGAGAAGAAATATTTTCTCACATTCAGTCTACCCTGTGGCACACGTAACTTGAAGGGATGTCCCCGGAGGTGAGTTGTAGTGGCGAGTTGGAAAAAGTCGTCGCACCGAAGGGCACAATCCAAGCCGCGCACGATACGGAAAGTTTGTATCATGTCTCCGCGCAACTGCCTATAACTCAGAGGATAGAGGTTAAGGTTAATTAAGCGGATCTCGTATGGCAGTGCACTTTGACCTCTTACTAATTTTGTGGCTCAACTCTGCACCCTTTCGAGCAGATCGTAATCCTGATGCGTCCACGGTCTCCAGGCCTGAATTGGATATTCGAGATGGGGCCTTATAAACGTGCCGACGACTTTGGTGAAGCAGTCTTCATCGAAAACTACGAATGCCCGCTTGATGGCATATAGCATTGACGTTGCGGCCTTGGCCGCCTTACAGCATTGTGTAGAAGGCTCTAGGCTGTCTGCAACCCAAACTCCGAGATCTTTCTGAGTTTCTGCTTCTCGGAGTGGCATTCCGTTCAGATGGTATTGCCGCTTACTAGGGCTCTGATTTCCGAGGCGCAGAATGGTGCATTTGTTCAAATTGAAGGACAAGAGCCATCTGCGGGACCACTCGTCCAACCGACAAAGATTTTCTTGGAAGTTGGTCTCATCGGCAGCATTCTGGATGACTTTCCAGATTTTTATGTCGTCCGCAAACATGGCACAATCACAGTCCAACCCATCTACGCAATCATTGATGAACACGAGAAAGAGAGTTGGTCCGAGCACCGAGCCTTGTGGGACCCCACTCTCTATGAATGTGCACCTTGATTGCTGTTGTTCTACGCAGACAATTTGAGAGCGGCCGACAAGGAAATTTTCGATCCATTTGAGAAGTTTGCCACCGATGCCCATAATTCTCAACTTGTGTAGGAGACGCTGGTGCGGAACACTGTCAAACGCCTTCCGAAAATCAATATAGGCAACATGCACGGTGTGTTTTGCGTCCAGTGCTCGTGTCCAACTTTGCATTGTGTATAGCAAGTTCGTAACACATGATCTTCCCCTACGGAAACCATATTGTGCATTGGACAAGAGGTTGTGGGTTTCCAAGTAAGCCATCAACTACTTTTTTATGATTTTCTCCATCACTTTGCAGCAGATTGATGTCAGACTGACGGGTCTGCAGTTTGTCGCCTGAGCACGACTACCGCTTTTGTAAAGGGGTGTAATGTGGGCCGTCTTCCAGTCTGTGGGAAGAATTCCAGCATCAAACGATTTTTGGCACAGAAAGGATAGTGGCTTGGCCAGCTGTTCGGCAAGCTCAAAGAGCAGCTTTGCCGGAATCTCGTCCGGACCGGGAGATTTACATTCCTTCAAGCTTTTCAGTTCTTCCAAAATCGCTTCTTCCCGAAACAAAATATTTTCGATAATGGGATCTCTCATGTTCTCAGAATTAGATGGGGTAAAGTCTGCTTCTCTTGTGAAACCGGATCGGAAAAATTGAGAAAAGTGCTCAGCCTTATTTGTACTGTCCGATATCTCCAAGCCGTCATCACCCCTCATAACAGGAATGGGATTCCTGTTACGTGTGCTTTTCCGCAAATAGCTGTTGAGCAATTTCGGATTTTTAACGGCTCGGTGGAGCAAATTACTCTCAAAATCCCGTCGCCTCCTGAAAATCAGACTTTTCACCTTATTTCTTTGAATTTTGTATTCTGTAAACGCTGCATTGTTGTTGTTCTCGCGAAATTTTTTCCATAACCTACCTTTCTTGTTGATCTCCCTTTTGAGTTCTCGTGTAAGCCACTGAGGGCGGTTGGATGTCCTAGGCTTTGATAAGGGACAGTGGTTCTTCATTAGATGCAGTAAACGATCCTTGAATAAATTCCAGTCCTCGTTAACGTTTCCGGAGAAGAGAACATCCCAGTCTATTTGCGATGCCTTAGCTCTCATTTGGCGAAAGTCCCATTTCCATATATTTGGCCTCGTATTGTCTTTTGTACACGGTTCAGAATACAGCAAGTACTCGCATAAAAGCATTGCATGATCACTTCGACCGAGCGGGGGTAGGTAGTACACCTCGTCTATACTGTCAGGATCTTTGGTAAAAACGAGGTCCAGACAACTGGCCTGTTGCCCTCCACGAGCTCTAGTTGGAAACAGGACATGTTGCGTGAGTAGAGCTTTTAGGGTTGTCTTTAGTAGATGGTAATCGAAGGTATTCATCGAGCATTTCGCACGCATATCGCTCCATTGAATGCATGGTGCATTAAAATCCCCCATGATAACAACGTCTGGTCGGCTGGCGATCTCTTTTATGGTTTTCAATATAGAAGTATCTGGGTCTGGATCCGCCTGCGGGGGCCGGTAGATAGTTAAGACTTCGAGGGACTGAGATCCCCGCGCCTTTATAGTCAGCCAAATTGCCTCTGTGTCGTTAGAAATCTTGTCGGTCCTCTCACACACTGCTAAGTTGCTCTTGACATACATGGCAACTCCTCCACCCCGGCGGCCTCTCCTGTCTCTCCTAAACAAATGGTATCCTGTTAATGCAACCTCGCAATCGCCAACGTCCTCTGACAGCCACGTTTCTGTTATTGCTATAACATCGGGAAGAGTATCGGCTACCTGTATTCTCAGTTCGTCAAGCTTGGAAAACAAGTTCCAAGCCTTGTGGCTCACGCGCGATTTATCATGTTTATACGGTTCCATTTCAAACATTTTCACCTTACTGGTTCCCCTGCACACTGCACTTACCTATAAATTCCGCAGAGGACACTCAAACACTAACGTGTATTGTCCTCTATGGACTGGATTTATGTGTATAGTTAGTTTTCCCAGCACTTTCCTTCGCGCAATCGTTGTGGGCGCAGTGCAATCGAAAGAGCCTTACTAAAGAAGATCTGATAAATGCATTTCCCTCCAAAAGCAGATTATTCGAAGAGGTCGTCTTGGCTTACGAATTCGCACGACGCAAAAAAGAATTCAAATTGCTCTTGGTACTCGTAGTGGTTGACTTATATTTAGACGAAATAGGTCATGAATGAGATTAGAGGCAGTGTGAGTCTGCTGACAGTAGGACATGTTGTACTATTGCTTAGTATCTGTCGACGTGTTTCTAATACGTAGAGCAAGTGACAAATCACTTATTTACATGTAAATATATGTTTCCTTCCTTTTGTTTGGTCTTGCGCATCCCTCCGGAATTTAGCCGTTTTGTCCTCCCCACATTTTCCATGCTTGTCTCCGCTTTGCTTGTCCATTATTTATTTTGACATTTGCCTTTATGCATTTGATACTTATTCTTAGGAGATTTAAATTCCGATGCGTCTGCCCCGTCTTTTTACTGCATGCAGCGTTTCGGCTACCATCTCCATCACTTTTCTTTGGCAGCGTTTAATTCCAGCTGTGTTACTTTGTGGAGCAGTTGTAAGACAATCGGGATATTTGGATTTCGAATGTTTGCGATGAAATAATGTTTGGCATTCTACGCAAATGTGTTAAAATTATCCCCATCCGTTGCCGCGCTAAAAGGATGTTGGATGTTGTGGTTTAAGCCCAAGCGCGTACAGTCTGCTTATTGACATGTACTTAGTTTCTTTCTAATTTCATCTCTTATACTGAAATAAAGTCATATTCTCTGCTTTCCTATCCATCATAACTGAACTCGCCATCGATCTGCCTTCTAGGCAATTGTTTACTACGCAAACACCCTTTCTCTAGAATGTTTTGATGGCAAACTACTAGGCCGTTCCCTTATTTCCTATCTTTTACATTGCGGTATCATTTCGCATCCTTTCGTCTTTGTCCTTTGCGCATTCCGCTCGGGTTGTGGTTGTTTGTGCTCCCTGTCTACCTACCTGACCTTTTTTGTTAGTTGTCCCCCATGCCGTCCATGAGATGGGGCACATGTCACTGATGTGTGACCTATCTTTAAGTAGACAGCCAGTCGACGTGAACTGGTTTGGGAGTTTGCCACTCCGAACCTAATGTCTTATTAGCATACGAGTGCGAACCTGGCACTAATGAGGCTATCTGCGAAATATTCCAAGTGTTGTAAGTGACAGTTGCCCATTTGAGCATGTTATCGACGTCAATTGCTTCAACCCTACCCTAGTAGCAAACTATATCGAGTATATATCTATTAGATATCTATTTATCGATATATATATATCGATTAGATATCTATTTTGACGCAACCATAGATATCTATTAGATATCGATTAATCGAGATACTACGCTATCGGCGAAAAGGGGGGGTAATATGCTACGCGTGGAATCGTTTGCTTATCCTAATTCCCTTTTCCGCCCCCCTCCATTCCTTGTTGTATGTATATTACCCCCTATTACCCATAGGTACACTGGAGACGGTTGTATTGTAATTAGTTTATTAAAAAAAGTAAAAGTAATATGTACAATGCTGAACCCCTTCTGTGCTCACAAAGGTAACGCAGGCGAGGAATCAGTAGATGATCCGTGTGTATTGTCTAGAAATTAAAATCAATTACTGGAAAACTACAATTAATTTACCACTGTCATTGGACGTCACTTGTGACTTATTCCGCCGCTGGACACAACTGTCCAGCGACCTCTTCAGCCGTTTCGTAAGTGCTGACTCTAGGTCAGACAGTTTTACGGTGGAATCAGTATTCCACGCTCCGAAGACTTCTGTATGTTGTATAGTTGTAAGTAACGGCAGACCTACCAAGTATAACCTCATACAGTTTCGAACCGCAGAGGCTGTCTTTCGTCTTCCGGCCTTTGAAATTGACGTAAAGGCTAATCTCGTCGTCGAACACTGCGAAGAAAATTCGCTTGACGAATTCGTCAAGATTCTGCCCACCAAGGCACGTAAGGAAGGAGGTCTGAAGCAATAGGGTGTGATTAATATGGTGGCTTACCAGCTCCTGTCGGAAGCTCTTGTCCTGTAATTGGACATTCAAATGACGAAATTCGGCTGCAGACCGTAAGTGGTGGTCGAGTGGGTTCCTCGGCAGCTGAGAAGCTACCGGTCCCGAGGTTTTAGCATGCTGTTGAATCATTGATTCTAACAGCCGCTGACGGCCGAGTAATTTGCGAACAGTCTCCACCAGAATGTCTCGTTTCATTGACTGTTCACGCATGTGTTTGCACATGAGCAGCAGGATATCTTCCTGCGCATTGGCTTTCGGCACTGTGGTTAACGTGTCGTCATTGGCGTCCACCTGCGGCTCCTGAAAGGTATGATAGCGTTATTTTCCATAACTTACTGGCGATGAAATGCCTTCACCTTCCAGTAGGTAGATCGCCTCATCAATCGCAGACCTCCTTTGTCGGGCCGGCAGTTGGCGGGACGGTAGTTGGCTCATGATAGTATCTACAAACGCACAGGAAATAAGGTGAATTAAGTGCTAGCGTAATGGCCACTTCTTCCCTGCAGTGCTCGCAAACCAATACCTAGTGAGGTTATCCTAGCTATAATACCTGTGCGTTTGTAGGGTTCACGAGCACTGTTTGCATAGGCAAAATGATAGTAAGTGGCTTCCCTAATTATCTATTTAATTTCAATTAATACGTACTGGTTATCTTCTGGAATGCATACGTACTTAATGTAGTCATTGGGTAATGGTAAGCAGACTAACTTGTCATCTATGCTAGCTTTATAAACTTTCATAAGTGAGGAATTTTTTGGATAGTCAAAGTAATCTGAAATATTGCAGAATTCATGAAATACTAAATGTATACATCCGGCTGCATCACGTAGTATGTTTTTAACGCATACCATTCTATTGCCAATTTCTATGCACTTATTGCCTGAGGTAATGTCAATGCGATATTTGTCTGTGATTAGACATTTATACTGCTGGCTCCCCTCAAAGCCTGCTGGTATCGGTCCTGCATTATGCTCATGCATGAATCTCGGTGGAGAAGGCTTTAAGGTATCGCGCGTAGCTACCTCCTCCTCGCTTAAACGCCTAGCTACCTGTTGTAAAGGCCGTGAGGGGCTTCTAAGCAAATTCTTCAATCTGCCTAAATAGCTTTCAAAAGGGAATGACGAAAATGAGTCCAGTGGACCGTGACGCTCAACATCGTCCGCAATGTGCATAAGGCTATGCACATTGTAAACCATGTGTTCGTCACCGTATAGACTCGCAAACCTTCTAGTAAACAGTAATAACAACTGCCTACAATAACCTACGTTTCGGTAGCACGTATTAGGAGAGACGAGCAATCTAAGGGCAGTAAAAAGCATTAAATACAATTTGTAATGATTAAGAGGCAGGATACCCGGGAGAACGACAAGACCTAGATACAATACAAACTGCCTAAACTCTGTAGCCTTCCAGGACTCGAACTCACTTAAACACCTAGCTTTTTGTGAAAATTCTGATGGAAGGCAAGCGTTTAAAGAACGCAACCTATCGTCTATAGCCTTCACCTGCACTGCCTTCAGTACCGAAGGCGTCGTGCGACCACTGTCCTTTGACCGATGATTTCTAACCCACAAACTAAGTAAGCGTTTCGCTACACCCAAGTAAACTAGATGCATGGGATCTAGAGGAAATTGGTTAATAAGGCCAACGTTGCAAGAGAGGAATGGAGACACTCCGACTCTGTGTTCGTCCTCCACAGAGTGCAAGAAGTCCTCATCCGTCCTATCCCTCTCTCCTTTCTCTAGGTACACTACTTTACCCATATAAACACCCGTTACTGTACAACGTTCGCACCCACTATACGCATTCACGTTCTTGATTTGCTTAACGAAAGCCCTCGCAGGAGCGTCACAGATAATAGAGCTGACGCGAACGCGGGTGTGCAGTCCGGCGCTGTCGCTGCTGTTGATCCCTTGTTCGCTTAATGTTGTTAACTCACTAACTGTTAACTTACAGAATGAATGGACATCTGACGGTTTTCCAGTACCACAGTAAATGCCAACTGGAAAAACGTTACTGACAATGGGCCGCGACAATTAATTGTCCTCTCCCACCGACCGTTTTGTCACTTTCTGCAATTCAATCTCATGGATCACGTCTCGGATCACCTGGAACGCCAGTCTACATGCCATGACCCACTCACTTTGTCGAGTCTCGACGACGCCATCATAGCGTGGACTTGCTATTTGTCTCTACGAGATTAAGTCGTACCTTAAGCACTCTAGATGGATTACGTCTGAAATCTTGCTTGAGCAGTCAGCTTACTGTGTCAGGTTTGGTGGTGTGCATACGTTGCTGTAGCCTGGGTGGGCAAATTAACCCAAGTGTGATCAAACTCACGGCTCCCGGTGAGGCTTCGTAGCTCAGATGGCCATAGTGTTGGCTGTATTCAAGCCTCCCTCTTGCTGTCGTGAGTTCGAATCCCACCGACTTGATAGCTAGCCGGCCTTCCCCCGGACGAGTTCTGATCAAGTCGTTTTTGGCTGTCGTCTCTTAAGTTAAGACACCAAGTCTGGTAAGCTGAAACGAGATGGATGTATGCCAGTTGATTGAACTGACAACAAGTGTTCACGTGGATTTTGTGAGTTCAGTGTCCGAGTCAAACTGCTTTGGCCTGAACGGTCGTTCCTGGGAAGCCGGGGGTGTTGTCAATCCCTGTCACCGGATCCCATCTCCATGTTCCCAGCTTGTGTCCTTTTAGTTTCCAGTTTTGGTCCGGTTTCTTCAGCATATTTCCAGTCGCCGTTACCGCAGCAGTCTTGAAAGACACTTACGGGGTTTGAGCAAACAACAAATTTAACCGTTCAGGACTTCATACAGTTGTCATCGTCTGTCCGAATTCTGCCGCAGGACGAGACTGAGTGTTGTCGGATGTTAATTTTCTAGTTTTATCTTCAGTAGGAACGTATTTACAACTATTATTAATTACTAATAGAGCATCATGTTTGCCTAGCAGTGTACCTTTATCGTGCGTGTAAGGTCTTTCTTCCATTGTGGTCTCGTCCGAATTCACCAGGCAACTTTGCACATGCTAAGATTTCAGATTGGTCAGTTGATTTAATTGACTCTTTACTGTTGTTTTTCCCATCATTTTATTACCCGCCTCTAACCCCGATTTGTCTTTTCTATTACTAGTTTTCTGTCCAAAGCTGTATGTCTATGACTGAGGCGACAGCCGGGACCTTGACCGACGAGGAACCGATGACGGAAGGAACTCCCGCTATCGAGATAATTGATTTACCTGTAAGTGGTACATTACATTGTAACGACTGCTTTTTTTCCCTTAGCCGCTATCAGATGTCACCAAGACATCAACCGGCGGGCTGGATGATGAGGCCCTGTACTCCAAGTTCCTCTCCGGCGATATGACATTCGAGGACCTGATGAAAGAACTGCACAAGAAAACAAGTACACCTTTGACTGCCATGAAGGAAGAGAGACCAGCCAGAAGACGTGGAAGGCCTCCAAAGCCCCGTGCTCCGCCGCCGTCTGACTTCGACTCTGAAAGGGAGGAAGCGACAGACCCACACTTCGAGCCTCGTCAGTCTTTCTTTATGCATTTTGTCTTCTCGGCTTCGTTCCATGTTTGCCAGATGTCACAGAGGGAAAGCAATACTACCACTTCAACTATTTTCGCCACTACTGCTACTCCTGTTCATTTTACTACTGTTACTGCTGCTCTGTCCCTGCTAGTGTTATTAATAATATTGCTGGTACTACGACCACCGCTGTTAATTGCATGTACTACTAGTATTATTGCCAATACTATTACGGCTGCCGCAGTTTGTAACACGAATCCTATGAGCTATGCTTTTAATGCCACTATCACTACTGCTCCCATTGCTACTATTACTGCCACTGCTACCAATTGGCAGTTCGACCGTCGTCACGGACGATATCCACCATGAGCTCTACAGCAGGGTGAAAGCAGGGACAGCGACCTGCCCGTAAATTTGTTTATAGTGATTTCGGACCTGCGCGGTATCCACTGCACCCTCCCCCTCTCCAGGACATGGTGTCAAAACACAGTCAAGAAGACCGGAGTCGAGGAAAGGCGTGGGTGGCGGACACGACGTAGAACTACCACACCTCTCAGTCCACAACGTACACTGACCACGATTTTATACAACAACCCAGAAGGAGAGAGGCGGCTCAGATCCAAATCGGTACGGTGTGAACCAGCAACTGTTCGTGCCGCTACACTCACAATTCTGGCGTTAGTTATGTGTGCGCATTCCCGATAACCTGAGAAATATGAAGAGTTCGCCAGAACAGGTTTATTGGAATGCTGATGTTTCGGAGAACTTGGCCGGCCCACCACTGCCAAAGCGTAAAATGCGCTCAATCGAATAGAAATGGAAGTGGCGTGTCGCACTGCTGATCGATTTTCCTCTCCTCTCGGGGGATGTATGGCAGGCTCTTTAGCTGTGTGTGTTTCAGGTCACCCCCTCATCGGAGAGAGGTAGTTGGGCCATTTTCGGGGTTCGTCGGTCTGGCGGCCCTTTTTCCTCCTCGTCGAGTGAGCTCGTCGTCGGGTTGTGTCTCTACGTCTTTCTTAAATTCTGTGTGATCGTCTTGTCCTGAGCTTTATGACTGCAATGACGCAGGACTTTGTAAACTGCAGGAAGGTCCAGATGGCTCTTGATGGCTTTGGCATCTGAGTTGCATGCCTCAGGTGTTAACCGTTCTACCTTTGATTTGCCCCGGCCTAAGATGGTAGCTCCCTGAAGATCGGAAGTCTACCCAGTATCTCCAGTGTGAGTTGTAAGTTGAGATTGTGGATCTAGCCACTGAGTTGCTGAGTTCTGCTCTCGGTAACGCCTTCCGGACTCCCGCCTCGCCCCCTGTGTTGGTCCTGGACTTTACCTAAGACTACCTGTTCCTGTTCTCATGCCTTACTATAGTCATTAACACCACTCCGTTTACTATGATTCCCTCCTCCATTACTACCGCTCTTTCCACTAATATTACTTGCACTGCTACGGTTTCAATTATGACTATTATTATTACTACTACTACTACTACTATCACTACTACTACTACTACTACTACTACTACTACTACTACTACTACTACTACTACTACCATGACTATCTCTGTTACCAAAATGGCAACCACAACTACCACCACAACCACTAATCCTGATACTGCTATTACCCCACAAATATTACTACTACCACCACTACAACGACTACTATTACTATTTCTAATAACTAGCGTTATTATCGCCATTACTGCTGCCACTATTCCTACTAACGTCATTACTGCTACGTGTTTCTTGTACTCAGCTGATGACGAGGACTATTATCCCGAAGCAGGCACGAGCCGACGCCGCAAGCGAAAAAATAAGCATCCATCTCAACGAAAGGTGAGCCAGATTTGCCCGCACTTTGAATTTCGAGTCATCTTCACATGACCTCGCACTCACCTGCGCG